AACGATTTGTTGTCTCTGATCTTCAGCATCTACATTCATAAGGTATGTGAATTCTACGTTCATAGTCTTTCATAGTCTCGGTTACTAACATGTTATTTGCAGTTACTATCGGGGGGTTCAGACACCTTCATGCTGGCGGATGTGTTGCCTTGCGATTGGTACATCCCTGACAATCTGAAGAACCGAAAGTTCAGGTTCCCCACTTTTCCAGTTTCAATCAAGCAACTGAGTCCAGGTATGTTCTTGTTTTTAGTTTTTTGGTTTCGGATCAAACACAGTAGTCCAGGCTCAAAGGAGGAGGTTCAAAGGTCAGGGACTTGGGCCATCTGTGGACCTCGGAACAGCGGGGCTAATACCTTCCTGATACTCGAGGAAGTAAAAGGCATTGATTTGGAGCCATTTCTTTTGTACATCCAAAGCAAGTGCTCTGGAGACCCTCTTAAGCCAGCCATTGCGGATTGGTCGGAAGTCGTTCGAAATCTTAAGAGTGACGTCCGAAGACTGATTGCTATCAAGGACAATGAGCAGCCTGGCGATGAAAGTAAGTCCATATGTTATACATTTTTCGTTTATTTTTAATTTTTGTTTTTTGTAGAGTATGCTCGAACGAACTTTGGATATGTATTTTTCTCGGACAAGGACAATTCATCAGCTCTCTCATATCAAAAGTCTAATCCGATGGATATATATGCCTCAAGTGTTATTATCGGCTCCAATTTTGGTATGATTGAGCAGATTGCAGCTGTAAGGCATATCAAAAAGTGTACGAGAGAGATGTGATCACCAGTATTTAGTGGTAAAGGAGGCTTTCCAGGTGCGACTTTGATACAAAGCGAGTCTTACGATTCTGGTTTTCCTGACTGGATTCTCTATTGGTGACAGTAAGGGAAACGGCATAGATAATGTGTTGACGACATTGAGTGCACAACAATCCATATTTAAGTTTATTTAAGAAATTTAGTTTAAAAAGTCATAATTATTATTATGTCAGTTATTTTAAATTCATGTATAGTCATATATAGTAAATCCATATATATGTATTTAGCCTGAGCTTAGGTGTCTCTCTTAAAACATTTCCTTCTCTTTTATTTGATTATTTACAAGCAGCCATGTAGGTACTTCACTTGATTGATATCTTTTAGATTTCTTGCTCTTATAGTTGGCATATTAAATTACGTCTATGGATGTAACAAAGTTTCCCTTTTGACTATTGAATTTTTGTTAAAAGTTCTGAAGTGGAATGGTTATATCAATAGAAGTTGAGACTACTCGAGAATAAGTAGTGGGATTGAGATAGAAGAAAAGTCTTAAACAGGTTTAGCAAGAACTAAACCAATAAAAGGGAGAGAACTACCACAGGTAGTCGATCGAGTCTTTATGTTAGAGAGATTATGTTTCTTGGAACAAGGCATGATGAGCCTTCGATGTCAAACGATTGACGAATATTGGCTAGGTGCTAAGGATGAAAAGAGCAATACATACTAGTATTATTTTATAAAATAATTTATTGTTCGATGAGGACATCGAAATTCATCTATGGGTGGTGGAGTTGTGAGACACAAATCCCTAAGCCCCAAAGTGGAGCCAAAAGGGTGCCACGTGAGTGGCTGAAGCAAGAGCTAAATAAGCGTAACATGTTTGGACTAAAAGCTCCAACTTAAAAGGTCGAGAGTGGGAATGGAACTCCCAACGAAGTGCTTAAGGAACAAGCATGAAGTGAGCAATAAGTGAGTCTCTAGAAAAGGGACACAAGAGGACCAACACATGACATATGGAAGTGTCCAAGAAGAAGCCCGAGATGGACCTAAGATGGAGTCCAAGATAGACCCAAAATGGAGTTTGAGATAGAGTCTGAGATGGACCCGAGATGGACCCAAGATGGAGTCCGAGATGGATCCGAGATGGTGTCCGAGATGGACCCAAGATGGAGTCCGAGATGGACCCGAGATGGTGTCCGAGATGGAGTCGAGATAGAGTCCGGATGGACCCGAGATGGAAGCGGAGATGGAACCGAGACCGAGACCGAGATCGAGACCAAGTTCGAGTCTGAATCTGAGATTGAGACCGAGTCCGAGTCCAAGTCCAGGTCCGAATACTAATACAGGCTGTTGGGTGAAAGCCCAAAGCAATCGTCCCCCAAGGGGGGGGTGTGGGGGGTGTGGGGGGTGTGGGGGATTCCAAAAGTATAATAGGGAGAGTGTGGGGGTTAGACCTCAGTGGAGCCAGTTTGGCCCAAGAAGGCCATGCCCAGCTATTGGGTGATGAGATAACCATTGGGAAGTCCAAAACTAGAGTGAATACAAATTGATAAGTGGGGTAATTTGGTAAAGTGTTCAAGAGCCAGCTCTAGTTCCTCCGGGAGATTGAATGGTTGATGCTCCTAATCCAAGCGTGGGTGGCACTACCTACTTGGATATCTAGTGTGGCTCAACAGAACCTCACTCTAAGCCCATAGCTATAGCACCCAAAGGCAGAAGGTAGAAGAGTACCTATAAGGCTTGCATAGGGCCATGATGTTCCAAAATATTGTCCCAAAGTCCCAGACTATGGAAAGAAAGAGGAGTGGTCCTCTAGTGTAGTGACCAAGGATATGGTCATGTGGTGAGGAAGTCCTAAAGGATAGTGGGACTTAGTGGTCGAGCCTGTGGGCCTTGTTCCAGTGGCAGTGTTAGCGAACACAGCCATGGACAGAAAAGGGATTTGGTGGGCACTGTAAAAGGGATATTGAGGAAGGTTGTTCCCCATGTCTATGGGCATCTTAAGGATACTAGGGAATGGATCTTAGATGGTCTTTCATGGACAGATGGCCTAGTCTTTGAGAGACAAGACTGCGATGCAAGTAGTGTTGGACCACCAGTGTGATCAAGGTGAATAGACATGGCCTTAGTGTAACGGGCTAGTATGTCGGTGGTACCTTGGGGTGTTGATCATGGGACTGGACATGTGGAGCACTTGGACCAAGTCCAAAGGTTGAGCGGCATGGATGCCATTCTCGAGGCTAGCAAATCCCAAATCTTGAATTAGACTTATGGAGGTTGTGAATAAGACTTTTCCAAGTGGTCGAAGGTGTGGTTAAATAATTAAAGTAGAATGGAAAAATTAGTCACTTACACTCTCCTAGTTGTGGCGACTATGTACAAGCTTGTCATTGAGGCTACTCTTGTGCTGGTTCTTTGCCTTTGTGTTCACAAGATTGGATATCTCAATAATGGTATCCTGTGGTGTTAACCCCTTCATGATTTAGAAGTATTATATTGAGAATTTTGCCTGCATCTTCTTCATGTATATTAGATCAGAAGAGATCTTTTGCATTGCTTTTGTCAAGTGCCGCCTAGACATAACAATGAATTTAACTGTTGGATTTTTTGTTGTTTCCTTGCCTATCCTTTCGACAAATATCTAACCATCCTTGTCCATAGTGATTGTACAAGGTTAGTCTGTCCTTGAGGATTCCATAAGCAGTGATGGTTATATCAATTCCTTCTCTACAGACTATATTGTAGTTGATGGAATAAACTTTGAGTTTTGAACAATATTCCTAATGAATGTCTTTTGAAGCTCCGTATAAATGGCCTTCCTTCCCTGTTCATGTCTTTGTTAGGAATTTCCTCTTCTTTGATGACAATCCCATAGACTATTGAACTGTTTGGGTTGGTAAGATCCACCAACACTAGATCATCATCTTGTATCTCTAATGTCCACTTTTGTGGTTGTGTGGAGTTGCAGCCTCTTTTCACTATGATGGACTCATGTAGAAGTATTTTAGATTGCTGGGCAAGAACTTATTAGAATTACTTAAAATATTTTTGAAATGGGAGAGAATGGATCCTAGTGTGAGGCCTCATGCTAAGTGAAAGGGGTAATGGAAGTAATTCTATAGGAGGTTAATAGCATGAGGACTCAAGAATGGATGGGGTGTATGAAAGGGGTAGTGGAGGTAATTCTATAGGAGGTTATTAGCATAAGGCCTCACACTTAGGAATGGATGGGGTGTGTTTGCCAATTCCTTGATAATAATATTACTTGTCCCATGGACAGACATTTGAGCAAGATTACCATCAAGAAACTAGACAAACCAAAATCTTTTTAGCACTTTAGCATAAGGCCTCATGCTAATCCTTAAGCATGAGTCCAATCACAATGTGTTAATGGAAATTACTAGCATGAGGCCTCACACTTAGATTGCTTGTGATATTTTTCCCAGTTTCTTGATTTCTGTAGCCATCAGCCTGCCATTGACAACGCTTATAAAAGGTTTTATTACCAATCTGATTTACCGTCCAGTAGACAAAGAGTCGAGGCCCAGTTCCTCCATAGTAATTAGGATAAACCTTCAAGCAAGGTTCAGTATAGAAACATCTAAATTTCAACACACCTGCCATCCTGCTTCAACTGTGTTCACTGGGCCTAATTTGTTTGAGATAATCCACAACTGCGACAGACTGAACTCGGAAGTTTGTTCCACGTATGGCTCCCAAACATTTATAGATGTTTCCATCCCTTGGAAGTTGCCGTTCAACTGGTTGTAGCCATGCTGTCGTGATCATGCAAAGTATTGTCAACTCTTGAGAGTTTTGATCAGATCCTGCTAGATTACTGTAGTACCTCGTGAGTTTCTACGCCAGGTTCTTCATCAGCCAATGGCACTCGATTTTTTCCAGAGGAATGTTTTTTGGTTAGCTTCCTCACAGAATCAAATCTTGCGGCTATGGTATTCGAAGTGTGCAACACCGGTATTGTGTTTTCCTTGCACGATCCAACTTCTAAACCAAACAGCTGACCCGGAATTTTCTGATCCATTGTGCTCTTTTTTGCTCATCATTTGAGCAGGCTAGACGAGAAATCATTAGTTTTCATCCATGTTGGACAACTTACCAGAAGCTGCAGTGTCTGGTTTCTTAGAGACAGTTGATTTTTAATTGGGACGCAGAGGATGATGTCTCCATTTGATAACTGCAAATCGGAATCTGTGTGTTCACAAGGGTTTATAAAAGAGGAAACAGGAATCGAGCAAAAAGTCCGTGTCTCGCGTCATCTCGGCTCAGGTTCGACTGAACAGTTTCTTTTCAGGTATAGTCCTGATATTTCAAAACTCTTTTCTGTAGGACACTCTGGTAGAGAACGCGAAAGAGCAAGCGAGTTCGCTGAGCAATATGATCGCCCAGGCCACAAAGTGAAACGTATAAATTTTTTTAGCCTTCCTTTATATATTCTGCTCACGGCATATCTCCTTCAATGCCATGACTACGCCAACTTCGTTCCAGTATGAGTGAGCTAGCGGCGCAAGATTTCCAATCTGGCACAAAGCCACGGTTCCCATTCCGGCCTAATCTGGTTGAAACAGATGATAAGAGTGATGAAATCCTCAAATTGTTGAAGCAGAGCGACCGTGGAAAGATTGTCTCATGGGCCCCTCAAATGAAGGAGCTTCAACATGACTCTGTTGCGGCATTTCTCACACACTGCGGTTGGAATTCGTTGATGGAGGCCGTAGCTTGTTTCATGCCTTCGTCATTTACTACTTTCTGACGCTTGACCGGGGCTTCGATCAACTTCTCGGATGAGGGCTCATCTCTCCTTGACAGGAAAAGCCGAGTGTTTATGCAGTGAGCCCACGAAAGCCCCAGAGCAGGAGCTATTCTTCGCCCAGACGATACAAGCTCCAAGAGATTACCGATCTGAATTCCTTTCGAACCATCCACGCAGTCCATGACCTGATTGGTTACCAAAACCGCGACGTCATAAGCTTCTTCAGCTTCGCAGATAACTGGAACAGGCTTCTAGACCTAATCACCATTTCCGTCCTGTTGTTGTCAAGCTCGGACCGAAACGATGCTGCTACAGAATCTATGAGCAACAGCCTCACAGGCCTCTCCCGGCGTTGCTGCTGGTTCAAGACTCTCTCCAGGCGCTCGAAATATGTGAACAGCTGCTGAATACTCTCCGCAGGCTCCACGAACACATTCTTGCTGGGATCAAACCCTAATCGGATTTAACCCAAAAGAGAAGTGACCAAACAAGCTCACTTGCAAGATAGAAAAATGATTTTCTTAGGTTATAGTGATTTCTCTAAAGGATATTGACTTTATTCTTTGGAGAAGAAAAAATTGTACAAGAGGAGAAACATTATCTTTGATGAGACTAATTTCTATTGTGACTGTACACTTGCACTTGAAACATCTCCACCTTTGAAGATTTAATTGTTAAAATTACATCTCTTATTTCACTGGTTGCACCTATTGCAATTCTGCCCCTTTTTCTTGCAACATCATAGGATCAACTTTGACTTGGCTTTATTATTTGAAGGCAATGAAGAGTTTTAGAGTGCTCAACCATTGACCCTTGGTTCAATTTTAGTGGGAGTCATTGTAGCTTCAGTGGGAGCTCTTTCTAATGAGGTACCACATTTAACCTTGTGGTGTTTTAATTGGGTGTTTTGTCTAATGCAACATGCTTTAGAAGCTTTGGAGTCTTTTGACTTCTTTAATTGAAGGTGACATAAAACCAAGCTTTGTTGCTCACACTATTGTAGTTGAACCAATTTCAATTCTTCATAATGCATGGCAAGCACTTTTTGGCCCTTATGTAGACAAGTGGCTATTTGCTATGCAAAGTAAGATGCAATCTCATGAGAAGAAGGGCACCTTTATCAAACAGAGCTGCCAACTGATGGTCATTTGATTGACACCTATTGTGTGTTCTCAGTTTTTTACAATTAATATTTGAGCATGAAGAAATTCAAGGCATGTTAAGTGGCACAAGGTTTCACTCAGGTGGCTAGATTGGATTTCATAGAGACTTACTCTTTAGTTATGAAGCTAGCTTTTATTTGCATGATCATGACGCTTATAGCTGCTTGGAACCTCAAACTTCAGCAAATGGATGTGCAAACAGCCTTTTTGAACAACAAACTTGAGGAGGACATCTACATTGGCTTTGTGGAGCTAGGTACGGAACATCAAGTTTGCAAACTAAAGTGTACCCTCTATGGCTTAAAACAGAGTCTTTAAGCTTGGTATAAGCGGATTGATACTTTCTTCTGCTCCCTTGGCTACACGAAAGGTGCTGCTGATGGAAATGTGCACCCCTATTTAGTGGCCAAGCTGTTTGTGATTGTCGCACTTTATGTTGACAATTGCATAATGGCTGCTAATGCTCTAGCTATGCTGCTCACTCTCAAGTCCAAGCTCTTTGCTGAGTTTGAGATGATTGATTTGGGTGAAGTTCACTTCTACCTCAGTATTCAAGTATTTTGTGATCGTCAAGTAAGCACAATTTCACTTTCACATGCACACTATGTGAGAGAAGTGCTCAGCCAGTTCAATCTGACTGATTGCAAATATGTGCCAACACCTATTGAGCTAGGCACCAAGCTCTTTGTTGTTTCCTCTCCATCATCCACAAGTGATCGTGAAGCAATGAGTGGTGTGCCTTATCAGCAAGCTATCGGGAGCCTGGTTTATTTGGCCGTTGCTACAAGGCCTGATATAGCTCATGTTGTGGGCGTTGTCTCAACTTTTTTAGAAAATCCTGGCCCCAAGCACTGGATGAAGCGCATCTTATGCTATCTTCAAGGCACACATGACTTTGCTCTAAGGTACAAGGCTTCTGCAAATTCTACAGTGCTTGGCTTTTGCAATGCAGATTATGGTGGTGATTTGGACACCCGACAATCCACTACTGGCTATGCATTCATTGGTGCTTCAGTTAGTTGGTCTAGTCGTAGGCAATCAATTGTGGCCATGTCTTCCTCAGAGGCTGAATTCATCACTATAGTTGAGGCTGCTAAAGAAGCCCTTTGGTTGCAACACCTATCCAAGGATCTGCTGTGTGAGGGGGATGGTCCACTCCTCCTCTATTTAGATAATCAGAGTGCACTGGCTCTGACCAAGGAAGATCGTTACCATGCCAGGAGCAAGCATATGGACATTCGCTACTACAAGATATGAGAGCTGGTTGAGAACAAGCATCGAGTTCAGGGATGTCTTCATGACGGATACAATTAACTATAACTATATGCGTACTCTGGACTGCAATGTATGGTTTGAAATTTAATGAGTTGTCATGCACCAAAAAAAACTTATGAACCATTGCTGGATAGTATGTTAAAGAGCTTTTGGAAGACAAACCCAAAGTATGCACGTGGGTTGCTTGTTGTGACTACCAGTGTCACTTTGTAAAGCACTCACCAATCAGGGGTATGAGGAAGATACACCAGCAGATTTGAATATTGATGATGAGGACAAAGAAGCAATGCTGGAAGTGGAAGAGCTTGACACTTAGGATTTGTACAATGGCATGGTTATAAATGAGAATCACTAAGCTTAATGTAGAAGTGAAGGGGTATTGGATGGTCATGGTTTCTGAATTGAAGGACCTCTATCTTTCTTTTATCCCGCCGAGCAAAGTTGATCACTGTTTATGGAGGCTGCAAAGCCAGGCGCATATGGCACCTATTTTGATGCAGACTTGGTGGAAGCTTTTGCATCTGTTGATCACATAGGATTTCAGGGGAAGTTAAGGAAAAAGTGGAGTTGTACTGAAAGCTGGCACTTAATGGTGAGAAACTAGTCAAGGAGCACCTTTCATAGGAGGTAACAATCTTGTCACATTTGGAATGTTTGATAAAAAATTGTGCAACCTTTTGGATCATGCTTTACATAAAAAATATTAAATATTTTGTGAAAATGTTTGACACTAATAAGTTGTGGAATGGCATCAACCCTTTAAGTTTCATAAGGTTTGTCCACATGTGTTGTGGTTCAGCTAGTTGATTTGAAACATTATGCAAAACTTAGTTAAGTTATTTTTTGACTTTTAGCAGCCTAGCGCTTGAACTTTAAACCAATTTCCTATAGTTAATCTAACACTTTACAAACATCACAGACATGTTTCTCTTACATCCCCGCCAAGTGTATTAAGATATTATTGATGAAGTCAATAGTCATATAAACCATAAATTTTTCCTCTCCCATTTGCTAACTTACCTCGTCTATTCGACTATTATAGCCTTGGCCTTAGTTAAGTTCCTTCGCCAAAGTTCCTACCTATTGTACCAGCTCCTACTTGGTCTTACTTGGTTTTAGCAACTTATTGCACAAGCAAAAAAACATTAGCCATTTATCCATAGATTCCCAAATTCTCTTCCAATACCCCTCCTCAGGTTAGATTGGACTTAAGGTTCGGCTACATTCTTTGTAAGCATAAGCAACCAAGCACATCAACCTCAAGGTTCCTAACATCCCTTGGTACAACAAGACTTAATTATAAAACCCAAAGTAATTGTAAGTTCCTGAGTTTGGACTTTCTAGGAGATCACCCAGCCCAATACTATTCAAACCCAAGGATGCTTAACCCCAAGTATCCCAAGACCCTTAACCGATTGGAAAACGAGGTGCAGTGTTATTCATGGGCCTTTTCCCTTTATATTTAAACCCCATGGACCGTCTTTCAAGTCGTTCTCTTTGGTTGCTTATAGTAATTAGATGGGGCATGAGTCGGGAGCACTATAATCAATTTTCTTTCTGGGAGTGGGAGATGCTCTTGAACACTTCCTTGGGTGGCCCCTCCGGCACCACCTAAGTTTATGCTCACTCCCACCCAAAGCCCCTAATCCCCTATTTTAACCTCAAGTCAGTTTGAAAGCACCACTAAAGAATTCCTTCAAGACTAATTCCTAGACCTCACTATCCCTACTATACTTTTAGAACCCCATACAGTTGCCCCCCCCCCTCTAAAAAACACACGCTTTGGGCTTTCACCCCACAACCTGTATTAGTATTCGAACACGGTCTAAGACTCAGTCTCGAATTCAGTCTTAGAGTCAATCTTGCACTCGATCTTGAATTTGGTCTCATCCGATGAACTCTTTATCATTTTAGTCATGCTTTCGGGGATCCTTTAGTCTACAACACCTCACGGCATCACCAAAAATTTATATAAAAAAAAATGGTGTACAAAAAACAATCTTAAGAATATCTTCCTCAGTTATCAGCACTTGCAGTACCCAAAAGCAAGATTTAACTTGGTGAACCAATGACTTTACCTTAGACTATCCAAAAGATCAATAGTGTGAGGAAGAGGGTACACATTTGGGATTGTCACTTCATTTAACAAAAGATAGTTGATGTAAAAACAAATACTCCCATTAAACTTTGTCACAAAATGAGGTTCACATACCCAAAGATTCTGTAATTTTCGAATAACTACATCTCCTTGATGTTTGTATGTAAAATTTTGATCTCTTTAGGTGACTAACGATGAATA